ACGGTCACATGACTTCACGCCAGGACTCTTTAAAGTAGAGACACTACATACTGATATACACCTGAACATCAGCAGGAGAGGACTCTTTAAAGTAGAGACACTACATACTGATATACACCTGAACATCAGCAGGAGAGGACTCTTTAAAGTAGAGACACTACATACTGATATACACCTGAACATCAGCAGGAGAGGACTCTTTAAAGTAGAGACACTACATACTGATATACACCTGAACATCAGCAGGAGAGGACTCTTTAAAGTAGAGACACTACATACTGATATACACCTGAACATCAGCAGGAGAGGACTCTTTAAAGTAGAGACACTACATACTCACATACAGTGATTGTAGTGTCATGTGAAATCTCTGTTTCCTTATGTCTTCTCTTAATGTTTATCCTTGTCTTAAATTGCAAATGGTCCTGCAGCGATGCAAAAAACCTTCCAGACTTTATCTGATAATAAAGTATCGTCGTATGATGTGAAAACAGCAGCATGGGTGTGGTATCATGTGGTATCATGGTATCTGTGCGTTAATATTTATTTACAGTATTTTAATAATCTCACCTCATCACAGAAGTCAGCGTTCTGCGTGCACACTATTGTTTTAGGGGCACCAAACCTGAAAGAAAAGAGAAGAAGAGGAGATTAATTTCAGGTTAAAAATATTGTTGTGTCTGCTTCTTGATGCTTATTTTAGAAAAAGTCAGATTTTTTTTCTGAATTTGCTTCCATTCTTGAGAGGATAATAAATACATGGATCCTGATATCGAAGACCAAGCCGGTGACGAGTGAGATCTTTCTAACAAAAACACACATGGGAAAGGGAAGGAAAATGGGAGACAGTGTGGGGGCCTCGAGGCGAATCATTTTCAGATTATATATACACACAGTATTCTGGTCTTGGACATCACTGAATCCCTTCTGGCAGGAAGATCATAGACTTTTACAAAAAGTTTTTCAGATAGACTTTCCATTTAACTTTGAATCTTAATATTCAATCATTCCTCCAAAGTAAAATATGTATTTTCAACCCTGAGTGCTGCTAGTAAGAATGGCATTACTAGAATGTGGTTAAAACCAGGAAAACCTATCGTGGATATTGGCATTGTTTAGGATATTTTGGAGGATTACCTTTGCTTTGAGATAGCGACACATTGAATATGTGACATGTCTCCATGCTTCGATGTTCAAAAAGCTCTTTGTTTTTCTCGTACTAGAGGGAGAATCTCCAAAAACAGAATAGGGCCTCTTTAAGATTCACATATCATGAATGAGGCTTCAAACACCTGGTCAGGTAAAGTGTGATTACAGGTGATCTTGTGAAGTGTATCTACCTGTATATGCATTTGGAAATGCATTTTGCGACAGAGAGAGCATCCGTCCTCTGAACCGGAAAAGCTTCGGGCCATTTACTGAAGTAATCGATGAGCACTATGACGTTAGAGTTCCCCTGCTGCGTCTCTGGGAAAGGCCCTGAGGAAGAGGAAGAGGAAGATAAGGTAAGGTGAGGAAAGGTAAAGTGAGGAAAGGTAAAGTAAAGTGAGGTAAGGTGAGGAAAGGTAAAGTAAAGTAAGGTAAGGTAAGGTGAGGAAAGGTAAAGTGAGGAAAGGTAAAGTAAAGTAAGGTAAGGTAAGGTAAGGTAAGGCAACGTAACATTTAGTAAGAAACAAAACAGCAGATAAATATAATTTGAGGAAATGAAATTAAGGCAAAAACCTATAATGTCAATCCCAACGATCTCCCAAGGTGCGTCCACTTTAATGGGCCGGACCGTCCTGGCCAGGTTTTTACTCCTTTCTGTGTGCTGACACGTGTCACACACTTTGATCTGAAACAGGACACAGTTAAAAGTTAAAGCCACAGTGTCATAGAGTAGAGCAGCTGTTGGACCCTGAAGGCAGCATCTCCCTGGTCCAATTGGGATTTCTCCATGTGATTTTGGATTATTGCAGAAAATAATCTCTTTGTCAAACAAACATTTATGATACTGACATGTTTAGTTCAGCAAGATAATCTCCACATATCAACACCACTTTAGGATTTTGTAAGGAAAAAGCTAACTACAGGCTATAAGGAACTACAGCACGGTCACATGACTTCACGTCACCACCGCTAAGCTAAAGGTGGCTAATGTTAGGCTATAAAGGAACTACAGCACGGTCACATGACTTCACGTCACCACCGCTAAGCTAAAGGAGGCTAATGTTGGGCTATAAAGGAACTACAGCACGGTCACATGACTTCACGTCACCACCGCTAAGCTAAAGGTGGCTAATGTTAGGCTATAAAGGAACTACAGCACGGTCACATGACTTCACGTCACCACCGCTAAGCTAAAGGAGGCTAATGTTGGGCTATAAAGGAACTACAGCACGGTCACATGACTTCACGTCACCACCGCTAAGCTAAATGTGGCTAATGTTGGGCTATAAAGGAACTACAGCACGGTCACATGACTTCACGTCACCACCGTGGGCTAT